AGTATGTGCTTGTGTGCATGTACCCATGCAGAATGTAACATTCTGTGCAAATCCAGACTCCAAACTGCAGCATCATGCCTCATAGACAGAAAAAAATAATCTCCTCCTTCCTCAGAGGAGAGTTACTTCTGGCAGATTTTGCTTTTTATTTGCTTTGCCTATTGGATCAGAGGGTGAATCCTCAAATACAATACAAAGAATGGGCTAATCAGATAATTCCTCCGATCACATCAGGTGCTCCTGCATTCAGATTCTTTGCTGCTCTAGTCTCCAAAGAGGTGCAAGGTGGAGAGAACATTTCTGAACACTCCTCTAAGAGAAGGGGTAGAGAAGGAAAATTTTTTAGTCTCATAGAATTTATTGGAATGACTCAGATTTTAAATGTGTTTAAAATTCAGCAGAGCCTTCTCCTGTACCAAATAAGAGTTTTTCAACACTAATTTGGCCTTCTCCTCCAACCAGTTCACTGGAAACTGGTAGGACAGGTGTATCTGAGGTAAGGTGCTAATTTGGAAGATGGAAGACCAACACTAGTTTCCAACTTTGAAAAGAATATTGCAGTTACAATACCTTCTTCAATTAGCAGGTTTTATAATGTCTGATGATATGATTTGTTACACTCTATCCCAGAGGCCATGAGTGCTCCACACAACATAACTGTGCCACTGTTGATGCCTCTTGTTACCCTGATGGAACGACATGCCGTCATTTTTGAAGGTGTGGACCTGTGGGAAAGCAACGACCAAAGCTGCGAAATAATGCTCAAGCACTTGGCCACAGCTCGTCAGATAGCACAGAATGCAGAAATGTACAGCTTGACTGCTGCACGGATGCTGGAAGGTATGGAGCACTAGTAGGAGAAACTGAATGTGTGGGTTATGTCTGAAGAGGAAGGTCTCCACATCAGTGCCAATATAAGTCAGTGCAAGAAATTCTTCTCCTCTTTCATGGAAGTTGAGATACTAGCAAATGTCCTGCAGGAAACTCAGTCTGAGGACAACATCAGTATTGTGTAAAAGCAGACAGTAAATTATGCAGCACTATAGTTCGTCAATAAGCAATAGAGCACATATTTTTGCTAAAAATATTCAAAGTTCTCATGACTTAATATGGTGACCCTTCTAGCACCTGAATAGCAGTACAGTAAGAACTGAGGGTAACTTTCTCTCTTCTGTACAATTCAAAATTTCCTACTCTGACTTTTGTGAATAAACCACCACCCACCATAATAGGATTTTTTACAGCAGCATGAGATGCAACACCAAGATCTTGTCTGCTTGCAGCCAGAAAGCAGCAACATGTTAATAATGTGACTTTGTATTTTAAATTTGCAGTGAAAAAGTTAAAAGGAGGGGAGAGAAATCCAAGTGTTTCTGCAGGCAGCATGTATAATTATATTTAAGGTCAGGCTATAATGACAATTCTATACCATTAGAACTGAGCAAAGGATAGCCTCTCCCCCTGTCCCTAGAGCTATTTGTGTGGTGCTACTAAAATGTCACAGATGGAAAGGATTGTCACTGTTTTACTAGCTTGTTAAAATCATTATGCAAAAGGAACCCTGCACACTCAAGCTTATTTGGAGGGAATACAGTTTAAAAGCCATTTCTTCTGAATAAAACCTTCCTGATGCTGATATTATGGGATTCTTTTTACTTACTAGGTTTCCAGCCAGATGAAGAGATGAGTGAAATCTTCAAGACAGAATTTCAAATGAGATTGCTCTGGGGCAGCAAAGGAGCACAAGTTAATCAAAATGAAAGATACAAGAAATTCAGACAGATTTTAACTGCACTTTCCCGAAAACTGGAACCTTCTCCAGTGAAGCAGGTGGAACAATTCAGTATATAAGTCTGTAAACACCATTTAAATTATATACTTGAACTAACCTTAGCTTTCTTTTGGCAATTTGATACTGCACAAACTTCTTGCATTTCACAAGATGTTTAGAACTTTTAACTGCACAATGCACACTTGTTTTAAAACTACTGATTTCTAAACAAATTATTTATTTACTGTGTCACCAAGTCATTTAATGAACTCTTTAAACAGTCAGGTTATCCCTGTAAGATAGTCTTACAGTTTTCTGTATTTCCCCAGAGTTGCCATGTTTTGATAATGCCTACCAGTAAGGGCATTGGCATCTTAATATTAAAATGAAGCAAACAGTGTAAATAAAATGATAGATTAAGTATGTGACATAGCAGAAAATTTGTTGTATAATAGCCCTTTAATGAATATAAAACACTGCGCATAGAATTGTGAATTAAAGTGTATCTTTATGCAAAATAATTTGCATATTTGCAGATCACAGAAATACTGCAGGTTGCAGAAATGATCCTTTACCTGTGAGGAGGCTCAAATATCACTGCACTATGAAAGTAGAAAATTGTGTATGTGTTGGGACAACTTTTTTTTATTTTAAGACAGCATCTGTAGTCCTTTGGCTTTTGCTGGAGCCTGCACAACAACTACGCTGCCAGGAATGAATGATGAAATGGGAAGAACAAACAATCCAGATAATTAAAATGCTTTCAGATATGAGTAAACGTGGGTGTATGCATATATTAAACTTGTTTCATTTACTGAGGTGAATCAGTTTGGTAAGTAGTGTGTTGGGTTTTTTTTTTTCTTCTTCCTTTGGATGAAGACAAAGCATAAGCTGTTAGCACTTTTCATAGGAAATCAGCATGCATGGTGTTTGTATAAAGATTGCTTTAGCAGCAAATGCCACTTTGGTGTATAAGCATTATCTTCAGAAATTGTATAAACATTTAGGCAAGAACATTTAAGTTAGAGCTACATGTGCTTGTTGTCAGTAAGCCTATTTCTGGAGATGTTAACTTATAGCATTTGAAATTATCTGAGTAGCCTAATGAAAAAACCAACACTGAAGTGGTATTACCTGTTTCTCCCATCTAAAATTATAGCAGAGGTTCTATCACTGTAACAAGAGATTACAGACCTCATGCTGAAAGTCTCCCTGTCAATCTTAACAGAAGACAAATGGGGAAGCCAATTAGACCATGAAAAGATTTTTTTATTCCATGAAAATATTCTCAACAGAGAACACTATTTTTAAACAAAGCATTTAACATTTAGGAAATCAACATGTGCACAAAAAAAGGATTAAAAATTACTGGAAAATGTAAGATTCTTTAAGACAACTCACATTCAGAATTTTAGAGTAAGTGATTTGTAACTAGCTGTGCAAGTACAAATGTCTTTTTCCTATGTTTAATAACCCTCATACAAGTTGCACTATCCCTCATGAAAGCAACCTGCCTCCAAAGGAAGCAAATCCTGGTTTTAGAAAAACAAACAGTAGCGTGAAAAGAACATTTAGTCCTTTACCAGGAAGTGTTATTACTGACCTGCAAGGCTATTAGCCAGGCAAACCACAGGCCCTTTAGCAGAAAATACACAGATCACATGATTATTAAAAACAAGAACAAAACAAAACAAAAAAAAAAAACAAAAACAAAACCCCCAAACCAACAAACCCCCCAAAACCCAAAAACTACCCACGTAGTTTTGTCAGTATTGAGTAATGTCACATTATTATATAAATAACCCTGTATACAAGCTCAAAAAATCTAAACTGTAGAGTTTAATAGCCCCCATAATACACAAGGTCAAGCTGTGTAATAGTGGTATACATAACAAAAGGAATAAACCTCTACACGTCACTCAAATTCAGTTTTACTGGTAGTACAGTTCCTAATAACACTGAAATTAAAAAAAAGAATCCAGCACTGCTGCATCCAAATATTGCTTCAGACCCCAGAAAAACAGGATGTTTTGAGTAGTATTTCATTTCACCAAACAGCAGGTGGCTGGGTTGACAAGCTTGCTTTGATACAAGTATCCCTCCCCCCAACATTGCTAGTCTAATTCTTATCACTCTAATAAATCAGATATGATGTATTTATTAATAGCGCTACAAATAGGAGGCAAGACAACATAAGCAATAGGGGCACTGCAGACAACTATATTTACACGTATAAACATATCCAAATTTCAATTGTTTACAAGTAAAAGTGCACATAGATCATTACAAAGTATCACTCAAATTTCAACTGGTCCATACAATGAAGCATCACCTGGAAATGGACTAGCACTGCAGTAATTAAAATTGGAGCTTCATAGTGAAAAACTAAAAGACAGTTTCCATAAAAATATTTTAAAAAAATATTAATGTCAAATGGAGATACACATTTCAATGTATAAAATTCATGATGTACCATGTATCCAGTAAAGTAGAGCTCTAGAAAACACCTACCGTGGCTACCTCAGCAGCTGCAGCACTGTGAAAAGAGCTGAGACACAAAGCCCTTTGTGGGATACTGTAAGTGGTAGTGTTGGCAAACAACAGATTTAGGCACTCTAGTTTAAGGCAGCATTTGAATGGCAAGTAGTTGACTTCTGAAAACAGTCATTAGCTTGCAGCAGTGAATTCTCTCCAGAGGTGTTCCAGGTTCTCAGTGCTCACAACAGGTTACTGATGTGCTGAAGATGGACCACAGTTCTAGAAGTTTCATTGGTTGCATCGTAGGCTAGAGCTGAGATGTGTTATTTCCCCATATCAACACAAATACATCATGGTCTCTTATCAGTTATGCCAAAAACTGGAATGTAATGATGGTTGCAGTGGTATAGTTATAGCAGCATACATGGATACTGGGATGAAACTCTAGTGCTGAGGATACTTAAACAAAATGATTTGTTACAAAATAAGACAAGCAACAATGGCAAAGTGTTAGGCAGACATGCCTGAATGTCCTAGGCATGCAGGAGGAGGTTAATGGCGAGCATGGAGGTGGCACAGGCAGACTGGTAACTGACATATGGTTCTAAATGACTGCCAATTAAAAGGAGTTGGAAAAGAGCGTAATTGAGATGATAACCAAAACATAGCACAAGCTAAACAACTATAGTTTGTGCATCTGGGACAACCTGGGACAATGCAAATAAAGCAATTTTAGGAGCAGTAGCCTTTTTTTTCACTCTGGTAATGGAACTCTGTTTTCCCGCACAAATTGAAGAATTTGTAAATATATCCTTACCTATGTATGGAGATGCTAAGATGTTAGTGACTAAATGTATGTCTGCATGCATTCATGCAACTAGCTTTTCCCCTTGGGCCTCCCAGTCTAGCACCCCCACCCCCCACCCCCCCCAGCAGCTGCATGTAACCTCCTTCAAGATCTCGCCCATTTTCTCAGAAACCCGCTTCAGGAACCTGCAGTCCAAGAGGAAAAAGAAAAGAACAAAGTTACTGAAGGCCTTTAGAAGACAGAGAAGCGTGCTCAGTTCTAACAGGCCATTCTCAGTGGCTATACATTAGCCTTGTACTTAATTCCACAAACTCTCATTAGAAATACGAGCTACATCTTTTAGATTAGTTTTTTTGTTTTTCTTCTAGTAATCAAGTAGTGCAATGCAGTTTCCAATCCTCAGTGATTTAACAGTGAGGGGAATTACTGCACATTTAAGACCGTGATTTCAAACTAAACATGATAGAATTCAAAGACTTAGCTTACAGGCATACAGATTAAGAATATAGCATCATTCCCTTTTCAGGAGCAGAGAGAGGTTTCAGTAAGACATCAAGCATTACATGTGGTCTCTTTTTTTTTGTTTGTTCAAGGTATCTAGAGTTAAAACAATGAAGTTGTGTCCAATACACAACATTCTACATTAAGTACTGAAAAGGAAGGAGAGAGGCAGGTCAGTGGACTTTCTGTCCTTCTTAATCGTAATGTTTTTTCCTGAGTATTTTTGTTGAGCTTTCAGAATCAGAAAATATTTTCCTTTTTAAGAAGTGAAAGCTGCCAAGTATTTGCTAAGGAAGGAAATTAATAATTTTCAGTAACTGAGTTCAGTTAGTTATTAGAAGAAAAAACGCTCTGTTTTAAGCATATAGTTTAAGTCATGAAAGTGGGAACAGTAAATCTTAAGAGATCTTTAAAACTAAGTAATTTTTCTATAAAAACAAAGTATTCTATACAACAAGCAGAAATCCTGGTCTTTTTCAGTTTAATAGCTGAACTGGATTTAGTGCTTGGTAAAGCAGGAACACTAGATAAGTTAAACAAAGCAGAAGACATTGGTCAAAATTACAGACCAGTGTAAGATACATAATTTAATGTGGTCATCTCTGAAAAACACTATAGCAAACTCACATTGCAAACAACAGACCGTTGCTGACTTCTGATATTCTAAATGCTTTCCATGAACCTGTGTAACTTACTATTTTTCCACTATTTTCCCTGGGGAATGTACAACTGAAAGCTGCCACTTTACTGTTAGATATAGGTTACTGCACCTTTGCTGTTTTTCTCTAGCGTTACATCTATATATGATGTTGGCACATAGCCTTCCTCTCCATTATGTCTTCGAGCTCTTGTCCACCCATCTCCTTTGTCCTCCTCAATAATGTACAAAATTTCCCCTTCTTTCATTGCTAGAGTGCCTTCATTATGACCTGGGAAAAACAAGAGGCAAAGAAGTCTCAGTGTTCAGACAGAATTTTAAGTCATCTTTTTCCCAGGGCACAGTTTCCAGATTATACATAAACAGGAAGAACCAAAAATCTGTGCAAGAGAACATATGGTCAAACAGGCTTACAGACAAAAGCCTAGTCCAATTTGTAAAGCTGAATATTTGCCAATAATTGTGCTAATATTTATCTTAAAACAGCACAAAAGTACTGCTCATGAATTAAAGTGATTTATAAAATATTTCCACTGATCTTATAAGCAACTAGTGGCTCATACAGATAATTTACTTTAAATCATTTTACCTATCTTCTCCATAACAAATTATCCATGCGTTACAGTCAAGGAATCATAGTGTATGTTGTTAACCTTACCATCAAATGGATATATTGCCTTGCAATGTCCTATAGCTGGTAACGGATCATCATCTTCAAACTCATCATCAAACTCATTTGAATGTGCATGTTGCTGTGCTGGGCCTCGAACTTCCTGATTTGCATCATCTGTGTAACTCCCTTCAGGGCTATAATGCAATAATTGGAGTGTGAGGACTCTGAAGAGTTCTTAGCTCTAAAACTCAGAACGTATATGCATCACAGAAAGCGCAGACTGTGGATCACTGGGAATGCCTGTTAGCAGTTTTTATATTTACTGCTGGACGTGATTTTCTGAAAATACTGATCTAACAAAGGCTTGGATTGAATTCTGCTACATAACAAACATGAATTTGACATACCTGTCTCTACAGAACATGAAAAACAGGTGAGTCAGGCAATGGAGTGAGATAGCTTTAAAAGGTGCTGCTATATGAGTGGGTGTTTCAATTAGACTCACTTTTTTTTTTAATGTTACCATAATGACATGAAGTGACCTCTAGAATTCAGAACCAGTAAGATCTTCCTTGAGAAGGACATAAAGTTTCAAAGGATAAGTAACAACAGATGCCCCGATTCTAGCATAAGATATAAAAGCAGTAGAGATAGAATAGTGACCTCTCTCTGCCTTGTGTTACAAGGTGGTTGATATCACTGCTGTGCCGCCTGTCGCTTCTGGCCGCTACTTTACCTTCAACTTCAGAGAGCCAGGCCTTAGGGGAAAAAAAAAAAAAAAGACAAAAACTGGTGTCAAAGAAAACTTGATTCTAAACCAGCAAGTACCACTGAACAAATGCACTTAACTGCATACAGTTTACTTGTCAGCACACAGCCACACAGAGACTGCACCCACACTTGAAGTCTCCTAATTACTTTATGTGAAGCATGAACCTAATGCTTAGCCTATACTCCATACTAGTCTTAGGGAAAAAAATAATCTTTAATCACATATGAATTTCAGAATAAGTGATTAACAAGAAATTCTTCTGAACAGTTTACTTCTTAAATAATGTACATCCTTAGTCTAGCTAGATAAATGTACCTGAAAATATGGCACCCCACAAAAAACTATGAGGAGTGCTTTCTTAAATCAAGTAGTCTTTTCTGGGTGCTGTATTTATAACTCATATAGCAAATTACCATTTTTATCACTCATTTACATTTTACAAGGAATTGTTTTAGAGTCTAACCTCGTTCTTGTGTATTTCCATCCGAAGACGGTCCATGTTGCTCATAGTTTCAGTTAATTTTGGTTGCAAACTGCCTGGATCACCCATCTGGGGATTTTTTTCATAAACATCCTTCATCTTGATGAGGGCATCTCTAAAAATGTACAAAACCCAAAAATCATTACAAAAATGACATACATCAGTATTGATTCATTAAAGCTAAAATAATGTTTATGTGTATGAGATCTTGACCCATGGTTAGATACTAAGCACAGACATGGGAACTACTGCTCCCCACACCATGCCTAAATCCTTTACCCATTCTGTCATCTTAGCACTTTGCCTTCCTTTCTTGTGTCATGCACAAGCACATAAGGACTCCAACTGTTGACTCTTCTCTATACAGTCTCAGAGAATAGTCCAACTGTTTCCCATAGTGTTTGTTATACACAATTTCCTAAATATTAATGAAGTTCTTAATGCACTAAGTTGCAGCTCTCTTGCTCAACAGACCTAAGCATTGATTATTTTTTTTTTAATGTATGCTTTTAGATCCAATGTTTCCTATGCCATGTTAGGATCAAAATGTGTATGATAGTAAAGCAGAGGGAAGCAATGCTAACAGAACCTACATACAATAAACCATGAACTAAAAAATACTTTGTAATAGCTTGGACTAGTATATTCTCTCCTAGCTTCTGAGCGCTGTTGGCTTAGGTAGAGGACTTCAAAATAAACAGAGAGAGAACCATGCCAAAATTCCCAAAAATGCACTCACTTCTGGTCTGTTTCCTTCTGTAGTTCTCTGTTAAGTTCATCGATTCTCTGTTGCAGTTTCTTGCGTCTTTGTTCTGGAGGGAGATGGCTGAAGTCTTCTAGTGCAGGGCCCTGCAAGCAGAAGTAGTATTAAACAGGTAACAGGCGCCTATCAGGACAGCTGAACTGACATACCCACACACGGACAGCGTTCACTGGAAGCAGGATGGACCTTCTTAAAAACTGTACTTGACACACAGCTCTATAAAACACCGCAACAGAATAAATGCGCGTTCTTGCTGCCAGACCGTAGTCATTCATTCAAGGTTCTATCTGCCTGCTGTAAGAGTTGGCTCACAGATGTAATTCAAAGTTTGTAGAGTTAATTATTTTTCTGAAAAGCTGAGCCATGTATCTTCCTATTACATCCACTGCACTTAAAGCAGATTTAGAAAGGACAGAATTAATTACTACAGAGTAATTTCAGAACAAAAATCGAAGATGTGTCTATAATATGACTATGTATATAACAGATTCTTTCTCTGGAGTGTGTGTTCTATGGCGCTTTCAATGCTATCAAAATACTGTATTTTGGATCTTCATTCCCAAGTACTATTACAGTTCTCTTCTGGAAGTTCAGCAATCTTGCTAGAAAACATACTAAAACTTGCAAAGTTCTGATACGTTTTACCTCAAGTAAAACTAGTTCATAGAGCACAGAAAAAGCCTTTATAGCATCAAAATAGTGACTTAAATTTGTTAATCTCAATCAAAACCTGGTCAAATATTCCAAGTCACCTTTTTCATTATAAAAAATAATGTTTCAGAGAGAGGAAAAAACCTCTTACTTTCAAAACTTTTTTTAAAAAAAGTTTTTAAATATTTTTAAAGAAACTTAAGACCACCTATCATTATGAGCCCAAACCTGCAAAGGTTTGATTGCAAACTTGTGCCAAGATTATAAACAGGATGGAAGGACTTGGGTGTGAAAAGCATGGAAAGAGATTTTTTTTACATGTCTTAATGAGTTTGTTGTAAAAACTCTTCCCCTCAGGGTGACAGACACCAACAGCATCAAGAAGGAAATATGGTACACGTCTTAATAACAGAAAGTTAAACTATTTGTGTCTCGGTTGCCTCAGAAAGTTGGTTTTAGCAGAAGAAACCCCCTTGCCATTACAGTAACCCTCCACGGAGGCAAACCGAACTGGACAGCGTTTCTTTTGTCAAGAAGAAACTTGACAGAAACTTGACTGTCGCAATTTTGACACAAGCAGCCTTAGGCTCAGGTGCCAAGTTCCTAATACCCTCTCTTAACATCTTCTTGCCCCTCAACTTCTTGGTTCTTCTGCACTTGTAAAATCATGACCTCACTGCTTTTTAAGAAGGGAATACAAGACACCATAAAAAGAGGGAAATCCAGATATGTTGTTTCAAAATAAAGCAGAAGTGTATCTTTCTGGAGGAAAAAAATAATTAAAATCCTTTCAGGTCCTTTTACACACTGCAAAGCAACAAAAAGACAATCACATTCTCTGTATCATTCCTCCTTACACGTCAGTTAAAACCACAGTATCCTACAGCAATAACCAGAAGAACAGAGGTCTTTTTCTGAATTTTCACTGATTCACTCTGCAAAACAACAATACTGATTAAGGTGTAGTTTTCATTTAATAGAACAGCTTTCTAATATTCCTAAGCATAAAGAATCATCTCCTCTGCAATTTTGGGGCTAAATTCAAAGGAGTGAATTTTGCAATATTCAATATTCCTCCTTTACACAAGTTCTGTCATCTTTTCATATACCTATTTTTAGCTGCTTTAACAATTTTCCTGACAAAGAGAAATCACCAAGTATTTCCATCGTGACCAACTCGTGAATACTGGTCAACTTAGTTGCAGCCAGATCACAAGTCTAATTCTCTTACATTAAGCATGGATGATTAAGAAGACTGTGTATATGAGTGGAAAAACCTGAAGATGTATTTCAGCACCTGACTTAAGCAGTTATGATATGGAAACATTTTCAGAAGATTACTTTCATGCTATCTTAGCAGAAGTACAGCAGACAGATCAGCACACGGGCTTACCATCTTCACCGACCACTGCACAGTTCATTTGAAAACAGAAAGAAACGGGAAATTATTCACATGCAATGACTAGTTACAAAAATGATTAATGCCTAAAAATGATTCTTTAAAATATTGCTTAAGGATTACAATTTTAGTTTATAAAATATACATTTTACTTTAAGCACAAGAAAAGCAAAATACAATAATCAGAAATGCACTTCTGCTTTAAAAATTACTGATTTAAAAGAATACTAGGTGATAATGGGTAGTTTAACTTACAAAACTCTAATACACAACGTCATTAAACTACTTTTGAATTTTAGTATTTTGAATAATATTCTAAAGAACTTCTACTGTAGAAGAAACGAACACACAGCCAACATTGCACAAAATAGCAGAATTTGATGATGATGAAGGACTGGTCAGCCATATGCAAATAATGTTAATTACAGCTAACAATCCACTACTTTTACAAACATAATTTTTACAATGTATTTACTTTATTATCACAGTAGAACTACAATAAACAAAGACCTTTTTCAAGTTTAGAAGTTAGCAATTTTACTTTCTGAAAACAGCATTTGAGTCATTGCTGCTATCCTAGAAATGTTTTTAGTCCAGATAAAAACAAAGACATTTAAAGAGTAAACACTTCATCCCTGAGGAAGCAAATAAAACATGGGATGCCAGATGTCGTATCTCGGGTTTAACATTCACAGCATTTTGAAGATCTACTGTGCTTGGATACTTTGGATAATCCTTTCCAGAGAAACACCAAGCAACTCAGAAGATAGATATCTCTGACATCATTTATGACCCTCAGCAATTGTTAGGGCTGTTGATTGGGGCGCACACACAAAATTAGAATTTCTAGCAATAAGGAAAGTAAAGCACCTTCACAAATGATACTATGGTAGAAACCTCAATAAAGTCCAAAGATGTAAAATGGTTTTAGAATAAACTTCTTGCTCCATTTAGAAAGAGTCTTCCAAGAAAACACAAGTAAGGTTCATGTATCATTGTTGATGAGGTATCTATTTATGTATCAAGTGGCATTGAGCAAAGATCTCTCATAAGCACTATCTGGAAATGCTAAGAATACAAAGGATAATAAGCAGCATGTAATAGCAGTACTGATAAAGCAAGTTACACTTGCTTACACTTACAAGACTTTTCCATAACCTGTTCTGTTATTCTGTTTGCTGCTTTCACTATGCAGCACAATAGGGAGACCTAACACACGAAGCAGAGAATGAGGGCAGTCTGGTTGCGTCATCTCCAGTGCCTTGAGGGAAATCTTGCGCAGGGCACGTTAAACAAAATAAGCAGTATGCTTACTGTCTGGTATATGCCAACTCATGGGTAAACTGTGGTAGAAGCAGAAGCAAATTAAATACCATTTGGTAGTGCTGCACGTCAATACCGCTCGGACATAATTTTCCAGGGACAAAACTGTGGAAAATAGCATTGTGTACTAGCAACTATTAAGCACCGAAGCAAGATACATTATAAAGATAAGACTGATCAATGAGATATACAAAACCTATTAGAATTACAGTATACATCTAAGTTGAAAAGGCGCTCAGTATGTGATGTCTTAAAATGCTTGCAAGGAATTTCAAAATATATAAAAAATAAATGTTCATCCTGAAGATTTACAGAGATAAACTATTGGATATTGTGGGATATTTGAGTTAAGCCAGATTTGTAGGATACTAGTGATCCTTGCTAATTCTACGGAATACTATTCTATATTAAATTCATTCACTTTTACAACATGAACAATGAATTGCAAGAATAAAAAAAATTACTAAAAATATGGTTTCATTTTCCATAGCATTCTGTAGTTGCTAGGAGACTATCTTTTGCTTCAGTAAGAGGTTCTAGAACTATGGATACTACAAGGTGGTGATTTGTAAGCCAAGGGTCAGTACATTTAGTGATCAACAAAAAGGAGGTTGTTACCAAGACCTGTGCCATCTCAACTATCTAATCCAATTAGTTCCTCACTGAGTACTAAAGGCAACACATTATCTGCATGACAGGAACAAATGATGACGTAAGTGACTTAGAAGGGGAAAGGAGAGAAACTGTCCTCCATAAATACTTAGAGGACCACAAGAATTTTCTAAAAACTGGTGGTGGTAGAAAGGGTATTTGCAAGGTATCTGGGGGCCTGCAATAAGGTGCCACAACATGACTTAGAGATAATGCTTTAAGTGTAACTCGTTATATTTCAGAATGCCAGCAAGGGAGCCTCTAAATCATTAACTTTACTGCAATATAACATTGTTGTACTGTCAACAGTAGCACAGCATTCTTGATGCGCATGAGACAGCGAGTCAATATTGGTTTCAAATATCAGAAAATCATGAATTATATGTAATCAAACATATCCAATTATCTCACTATTTGGATCAATAAATATCATCAAATGTACAGAAAGTAGGTAGCCTGTGTTTCACTGACGTAACAGGAAAGTGCCAGTACATTTATCACTAGTACTATACATGTTGCTAGGAAACCACTTAACATTTCCCTTTCATTGTCTTCCAAACAAATTCTATTTGCAGAATGCACCACTGTAAATTAGTAAAGGAACTGATAAGTCTCAGAAGGTGGCATTTGGTAGTAATTTTTCAGTAATTCTACCCAAAAGAACCTTAGACAAATGAGCAATTTATTAATCAGAAAATGCATTAAAATGGTAACATTTCAAAAATCGGTATTTCAAAATCTGCAAGCACCATGTGCTATAGCATTTAATGTACAAAAGATATGAAATTTCTCCCTTCTTTGTTCAGTGGCTCATAACCAAGTACTATTATTTCAATTAAAAGTCAGCAAACAAGACATCTGATCTGTTCAGATGTTTTTTGTGGTGGCTGTATACCGAATGATAAATTACTGCAAAAATATGTTACGAGATGGTAGGAAAACATTTGTGAATGTGAACAACAATGAAGAAAGGTTTCAAACACATGCTGAGCACCCTCTTTATAACACCTTTCTTTTAGGCACAAGTATTTGGAACACGATAAAGAGTATTTTTAGCTTCTTTTTAACCTGTTGGTAACTTCTGTATAATATGAAACAATCCTACCAGTGAGCTCATAGGTGAAGTGTTACTTTTAACCAAGTAAGCCTTATAATGAGGGTGAAGAGCATTAGAAAAGCCACATCACAAACACACTGTTCATAGCCCATCATGCATTTCAACTTGTTAGCAAACTTACCCCTCTTTTGAGGCTTCTGAAAGAAGGAATTCTGGGCTTCCCTGTTTTTATGTCACTCATGCAATAATGCACTGGTTCAATGGAGAATATGGGATACTGGGACCCATTAGGAGTACTGGATGTGTATAAACTAGTAGGGGTTAGGGGTGGGGATTGTGGCTAATGTGGAAATAAAGAAAGCAATAAATAAGCCAAATGTTCAAAGTGATTTTAAAATGAAATTTCTCTTACAAAAATAAAATTTCTATCCAACACAGAAACAGCTTGTAATGTTCCAGACATATTTACACTATAACTGTATGGGTTTTAAAAGGTTTCTGTCATGAAACTAATCTTCAGAGTTACAGGTTGGTGCAGAGAATGAAGGACTATTCAAAAAGGCTTTAGACTCACTACTTCCACAAGATCCTAACAAGATCCCGAAGTTGACTGTCTCTTTTCTTAAAACGGGAAGTTCTGCCTTGCCAACTTTAGTTACACCATTCTGGAAGCTTGTGCATTTCCTCCTCACTGCTGCTTCCTACATGTTGATGTACCCTACCAGGCAAGTGAAAATAGAAATATCAGGTACATCTACGGAGAATGACCAAAACAAGCTGGACTGACACAACGGCTGCCTGGCATTCTTAATCAGTATAGTCACAAGAACTTCCTCCACTTTCTACCTCCCCTTTTTTTAAATTGCTTCTCTCATTTTTTGTCTCTCATACCTCTGCTGCTTTTTCCCACTTTGATTTTTCTGTACTATTTCCTCTGCTGCACAACTCATTCCCTTTCCAAAAGGCTTTTATGTCTTTGACATCATCAAAAATAGTTCAATGCATATCTGGAAGCCAAGACCCACTACAGTTTCAGCTAAATGAAGGCTCAAAGGCCCCCATGAATACCCCAGCTACAATAAATCACCATATTTTTCTATTAGCCAATTTAAGAATATCTTTTAAAACTGGGAAATAGTATTTGGAATTAAATATGTATCTCCTGATAAGTATTTTGCTCCCAGCTGCTGTTTTGTAGAGCGCCCTTCGTCTTTCCCAAAAACACGTGAAAAAAAAGGGACATAATCTTCCATTTCCTCCAGGTCCTTAAGGAGGAGATGCACGTAGTATTTATACACATACATATAACTGTGATTCCATACAGGAAATGCTACGTACAAAGTGCGCAAACTGGGGCAGAGAAAGAGTAAGGAAAGTCCTGTTAGCTTTCTTCAGCTGTCATCATACAAAGGATTTTCTTGTAACTACAGTAAATGCCACGGTCCAGATTGAAAACCAATAGCTTCCCTCTCCAAAATCTCAAATCTTCTTGTCAACCCAGTAATCATGTTCTAATTTCAGAACAGGCTGAATCTCACCCACCTCTGCAGCTAATCCAAGAAATATGCTAAGGCATTAATGCATTTAAACTATTACCAATCATTAAATCTACCACATGAAAAGTAAACAATCCGTTTTCACTGTAACACACAGCTGCAGTTACATAACATACTGAGGTGGGAATAAAGAATCAGCTATTTTCCTTCCTGCTGTAAAGATCTGTTTCCTTGGAATACTATCAAGTGGAAAATAAATCCTACCACTAACAAGCTCTGAGAATAGTTTCCTGTAATAAATGGCAGAAACTGACTTGAAGCATTAAAAGAACCTCATAGAAATTTGCGGGAATCATTAAAATGAGTCACTGATATGCTCCAATACTAAATAAAGATCTAGCATAAAATTTAAATATGAATAGGCTTCATTATTCATTTATATAGCCAAGGCATGTATTGATAATTCGTTTTGTTGATCAATGAAGGCATCTTGCACAGAAAGTGTTAATTGAAACTCATAAAATAATACAAGAAAGGAGTAATTTCTCTGCTTTTGAGCATAGGAATATTTTTACCTATTTCATAGTAATGTTTCTTCTGGGACATTTACCTGTATGGCGCTTCCGCGGTATGTTTTATCAATGAGGTACTATTAATTCTAATGTTTCCAGAAAAACCTCACAAGTTTTCAAAACTAGCAGCAGGTATAATAAAAATCTATATAGCACTCCTATATATAAACATCTATGAAATGTGACATTTAGAGGGGGATTGCTTTTCGTAGTATAAAGAGAGAGATCGGAAGTCTGCCCGACTCCAAAGCATACTCCCCCTGCCCTTTTACGTTCACAATTAACACCTTTTCTATGCAATTGCAGAAAGTCTTTACAGAAACTTAGAAATGTTACAGAAATGGGAAGCTACTTTTATCAAATAACTATGGAAAAATATTCCCAGACACAAATGACTAGGAAAAAAATTGCAAAACTTCCCCCAGTGAGAACTTGATTTTTAATGTAAGTATCCAACCCTACTCAAACCTTCAGATCTGCTTGCACATATTTTAAAAGACAGTGGCAGGCAAGGGGAAGGTTATTTTAAAATAAATAAATTGCTGCTACCATGCACTCTAGATCTTCACATTTTAATTTCCCAAATAGTAATTTCTTAATTGTTACCTTTGGCTTCTTTCCAAATAGCCACAGCTTTCCTTTAGCCTTGCCCACTGTAGTTTTTGAATCGATTCTCATTCCTTCCTGCTTTGGTGTACTGATGGTTCCATCAGAGATAGTTCTGTAAATATTCTGACTGTAATCTTCAAATGGAAAATCTCCAGGAGGTTCAAAACCGGATTTGAAGCAGTCTATCACTAGTTGAGAGTCCTAGACATAGGACATTAAGAAGTTTAAACAAGCAAAACAAGCAAACCCATCAAGAGCCGGAGAGAGAAAAACACGGAGACATAAATTTTCCCTTTAATTGCAGATTCACAGATGGGAAGTGAGAGAGAGAAGCTCAAAACGCATGCTTTTGGATAGATCAAGTTAAGATAACGTCTGTTGTTTTGTCTCAGCAGTGTTACCATGAGTGCAAATCAAAGCATACCCTGCTATTCAGAATCCAGCAAATACTCCCCAAGGGTTATCACAAATTTAAAACAGGACATGCTTTAAGGCCAAAGTACTACTCCACCTTCTAATCCTGCAACATTAGCCCTGACACAAAGATAACACTAAGAAACTACATGTAGCAAGATATAATAGAAGGAATAAGAAAGAAGTGCCAGTAGCTGCAATCAAGCAGGACATAGAACGATATTTGGTTAACTGAACACCTTTTATATGATTTAATGCTACATACTGGAGAAAATACCAACCACGTTGGTAGTCCAGGGTGTTTCAGGATAACCAAAACAATGCGTCCAAAATCACATCCAGTGAGAAAGCGTTAGAAATCTTCAGATCAGAAGAGAGCAATAAAACAGAAAGAGAACAGACACCAAAAGTGGAAGCAAACGTTTAGGCCTAAACTGAAGTCACAACACTTTTCAAGACGACAAATATTTGACAACAGAAAAACAAGCGTATAGGTTAAGTCCATCCTTCCCCTCTCCACAGCTTCCGTATCAGTTAACTGCTCATGCACATTTAAAAAGTTGCTCAGTTCTACTTACTCTATGTTCATCAACTGATTTTGCTGCAAGGATCATCCCTTCTAAACATTTAGAGATAATCGGAATAACCTTGCGCTCAGAGTCAGCAAAGCCTTTGTAACATTCACTAAGTTTGACAGTCCTTCTTTCATCCATTTCTTGAAGTTGCTGCAAGCACAAAGTAAGATAAAACAAAGCTTTTATTTGCAGATTTTTTCCCTGATCCTGATGTATGTAGTTACTGTCATCACCACAGTATAGTACAGAATTTCTGTGCTTTCCCAGTATTTTTATTTGCTTAACAAAACAGAACTTAATTAAGTTAAAAAATCAAGTCCTTTCAGACATAGACTTAAGATGCCCAAAACAGTAATGACAGAGTTGATACTCTGATTTTTAAAAAGGATGTAAAGGACTGGACTTACTTTTCTTTATTCTTTTTTTAAAGCACGTGTACAGTGTCTACAGGCACCTATTCAGTTTAAAATATTTGTTTCATGCAAAAATAAAAACTACAGTAAAGAAATTCTACTAATTTCTACATCTCCTCACTCCTTCTAGTTACAAAAAAATTCTCTCTGGTGATAAATATCTCTATCTTGCTTTTATTTTTATACTTTCCAATAAATACCAATGATTTAAAAAATAGGAAAAATTAGAAATATTAAAATTATATGCTGTTTAGACATGCTCTCTGATTTGAAATACAAACCATTTCCTTTAGAAGTGTGCAAGAAAATAAAGAAAAGAATACCATTACATAAGATTTGTAATAAAAGTCTACTGGAACATAACAAAAAGAACAAATTAAAGAGAAATATTATTAAGATAATAACCCTGGACCTTTCACGTAATTGAAGGTGGAAAAAAAAATCAAAAGAAAACAAAAAGCAATAGTACATGCATCAATAAGTTATTAAAAATGGAAAAATATGTTGGATCTTTCCTGTTTCTACTCCAACAAAGGCAGATGTCTCAAACAGTATCCAATTTCATCTCTCCAAAACAAAGCAACAACACAATCATGCTAACTAAATCCCTCTCCCAAGGTTTTCCCATAGAACATTACCAAATACTTGCAAGGAAATAATAAAAGTGTAGTCCCAAGAGAAAGCAGGACTAGGCCTTTCTGCTCTTACTTGGAGATTTCAAAAAACACACGTAGTATCTTACAATGATAATGGATTTTAACCCTAGAGAAATAAAGGCAATAAACCAAAACTCTGGTCCAAGCTACAAAGAAAGATGATGAAACTGTTTCTCTTGGGAGTTGACTGCAATTCCTCCATCAGTGTGCTGATGTCAGATCTACTCTAGCACTGCTTAGCAGTTAAAATATCAGAAAATTCTTTAATAATCCAAGGCAATTTTCTCCTGTGAATCCTTACTTCAAACTAGTTTGGCAAAGTCTCTCTGGCTTTAAAAGAATCTTAAAAAAAAAAAATCTTAAATAGTTACATGAAGCACCTTGAGAAATCCCCTTTTTAGATGCAAAATATTGATCTAATTTGGCCTTTAACTTTTTTTATTATTTTAGAGAGTTCTGTGGATTGCTGGTAATACTGATGAAGTAATGAGGGGGGAAGTACTTCTGCCTCCAATCCACCCACTTTTTATATATATATATATATATGAGAGATACATTAAACCACATAGTCATCATTAGCTATACGCTTTCCTTCATCTCTGCCAGGATCAAAGCATTCACACACACAAACAGCAAAAGAACTAGTGATCAAACCTTAGTAGAATGATTGTTTTACATGTTTGCTCTCACCCAGATGTCTCAAACTTTTATTTTGCCATACCTCTTCAGCAATATTTACACAAAGAGTCTATAAAATATAAAGCCTTCATAGAAAATGCAACAGACTATTTTCATTTCAAGTCTAAGCATATTTACCATAAGCAGTAAGGTTCACGATAAAATGCAGGTTATATCAAGATTATGCTAATTTCTTGATAAAATTATCCAATAAAATCCCCAAAATAAAAGTTTTAGATTTTAAAATCTACTTCTCCTTTAAAAGAAAATCAGACATACTTTCTCTGTTAATTATTTTACCTTGTAAATTTGAGGAATGACAATGTAGTAGTGTTTGTGCTGTTCCCCATTAAAAGTCTGTAGTTGTGCAGCATATTCATTTTTGTTTTCATCAGCCATATGTGTGCGCAGGTTTAACTGTTGCTTAGCCTAGTAGGAAAGTGTTATCAGTTCAAACATGTCTCGTGCTTTTCAATGACATACACCATTATTTTAATTTATTTTACCAACTATGCAACAACACTAATCACAAGTCATCAAAACCGATACCCTTACAACTGAAATAAAAAGAATGTGAGATTTCATATATACTGACAGTCTACAGACCTCATTTGTTACATACAGAGAGAGCAATGATCATTTTAGCTCCCTTAGCCACGTTGCTTAAATGCCTATCCTAAAAAAACCATAGGCATGAGTGACCAGATATCAAACACCAGTACGCCTGCCTGTTTAAGGAAGATAGTCATCATCTCCACAGCATCATCTCAAGACTAATGAAACATACTCCCTCTCTGCGCTTATATTTTACTGTAACTTTGATTTTGCACATAATAAGCAAGCATATTTTATACACAATTTTATACACTCAAAGAATGTTGTTCCAGTACTGATGATAAACATGCAAATGAAAGGTTTTTATAATAGAGAACAAAGAAACAAATGGCACCGCTCTTACCTTCTCAACATCAGCCTTTGTCGCATTAGTGTCATTGTCCAGTCTTTCGTAGCTTTGCTGTGCCTTCTCTGCTTCTCTGCATTCTCTCTCAAATTTCTTTTTGCTCTACAAAAGCCACAAACTTACTGCTTCAACAGCCACTATCTCCTTGTGGTTTTGTACAGTAATTTCAAATGCTGAATATCAAAGCCTCCATTAAAACATCTTAAATTCAATGAATACCTCTAAGCAAACAGATTGTTCTTGCAGCAACCAACTCCCAAAAATTTTCACCTTTTCAATTAAAAATTTATCTCCTTGAAGTACCAGCAAGTAAACAACTATAATTATGCTCTATAATATCAGATAATCGAAATACAAAATAACCTAATTATAAACAGACAAGTCCACTTTCTATCCTGACTTCAATAACATAAAAGTTAGGAGGCAGAAATCTTAAACCTGGAATTGTTTGAGTGAAATTTTGAAGTTCCCTTCTTCAGTGATCAATTTTAATTGAATAAATTGAACTAAATTATTTTGAAGGTAGTCTGAAGGATTTATCTACGTTAAAAGATCTTAGCATTCCCATCCATTATCATCAGTATTCATATCAACTGGCATAGCTGTAAGCAGCACAGACAGCAGTATTGGATGTACTTGATATTCAATATATCCAGCTATGGTCAAGACAACTGCTATAGGAAAACCTGTTGCAGCTCAAGAAGTCAGTATCTCTAGAGACAAACGGGCAACAGAGATTGGGTGAGCACTGCTCTCCTGCTTCAGTGCAAAGTCTGGCAACTGAGGTTAATGTGTCCCTTAAAGGCTGTATGCATTTAAAAGATTGACTGCACTCAAGTAAATATAGCGCACAGAACACAGCTGATTGTTTGAGATGAACTCTGGGAATTATTTTGGTGAAGGGTGATAGCATCTAAAACTACCATATCTGCTTCTACTCTGATCCTCTGACCATGAATTAAACTCTTTGACATGACACTGAAGCAAGACATTGCTTATCTGGGTCCACAACAACAAAATAGAAGTTCTCCTCTCCAGTACTGCTTCACAATAATCTGGATCAAAGTTGTAATAAATTTCTAAGACACAAAACCAGCAGAATAACACACTTATGTGAATATAATATTCAACACACTTGGTTGAATTTTATATTTTCTCATTTTTAAAAGCATGTCTCTCAAGAAAAGGAGCTTATAATCTGTTCTACAGAAATTCACTCCCTGCATTTCTCTGTTAAAAAGTAATTCTACCTCCTGAAAGTATAATAGTCTACAGTGGTATTCTTGAATAGACCTCATATAACAAGCCCTCAAACTCAAGTCAAATACACTGACTTAAGATTTCATCCACATACAAATAAATTGTCATTATTAATTACTTTCTAAACAAAAAGTAGCCCACAGAGAAGCAACCAAAGAAGCCTGCACCCATGTTAAACACAGATTCCTTTATGCTGGATAAAAGCCAAGCTTCACTCAAACATATACAGAAGCTGTTTACAGGATATTTTTTTTAAACGGGGAACTACAAATATATTGAATCGTATTTTAAATGTTACTAAGTCTGATTTGGACATTCAGTAATATAGCTAAACATGAAAGTCTAAGCAATCAACATGACAACAGTTGCATTTACAGACTGTGTATTATTGATAGGAAAAAAACCCCAAACCACAAACTCACATTATCCATCTGTTTCCAGCACATGTCCAGATACTGTTGAGCCTTTCGCCCTTCCTGAAGATGCTAAAACCACCACAAAAAAAGTTGAATTTACATATCTTAATAGTACTATTACCATTAGTTAGTCCCTGCTCTGGTCGACACAGTATGATATGCAGTATCTCCCACAAGTTACCAGTACTCTTTGGAAGACATTACCAATCATATAAGAACAGTAACACAGATGAAAATTATGCAGGCAAAAAAGTTACTAGTAAGCACCATCTCCTAGGACCTTCATTTTTAGGTTTAATAACTGTAATAAACCAGTAAGCAGAAAAATACAGAATAATTTTAAAATGTGTTTTATAAATGTATCATGAAACCTACTTATTGCCAAATTCATTAAATTAGGTAAACAAATACATCAATTCATTAAAAGATACATCCATTTTGATATCCTATTATCAAATCAAAATATAGAAATTACCATTTTTCTCTCAGTTTTTAGATCATGAGAATATCTCATCAATTCTCCGTACACTCTGTGTCCCATTTCTTCTGCAACTACTTCTCGTTGTCCTGCATAGTCATTCAGCTCATTAAGGATGTTAAAAAAGGCAATACACGAAGTAAACCTGACAGAAAGCACACACACACAAACAAAAAGTGAGAGAGTTTTTTTAAATGGACTTCTTTTAGTATAGTCTGTACTCCTGAGTAATTAAAAAAAAAAGTCATACATATTTTACAATAAACCTTATCTTAATGCTAATTGAATTATAGTAGAAATAAAAGTTGGGAAAGCCTACATAAAGCCTAGCATGTACTATATGTTGCAATGTCTCTTCAAATACATTTTATAAGAATATGGATTTTTGTGGATGGAAAAGAAAGAAGAAGAATACTACCTGGAAAGCCCTGTAGTATAGTGGTATCTCCTAAGCTGCCAAATGAGAGGCCTGAGCCTGGGAACGGATACATACGTCCCTAGGCTTGGAGGCTGAACTTGCTGTAGAGATGATGTGCTTGGTAGTCTTGAGGGTGGAACATGCCAATCATACCACTCATATGCATCCCGATGGATGATCTACAGAACAAGTTTGCTATCAGCTCTGGAGACAGCTGCCTGTTTGCCTGCCCACCTCTTGGCTGGAAGTAAGGTGCCATTATGGCTGGCACTAAAAAGGGGGGAAGAGGAGGGGCAAAGGGTAGAAAGTGTGTGTGGAAGGGAGAAAAGAAAAAAAAAAACAGGCACCACATTAAAATATACATCTTTCTCTCTTTCAACTGTGGAATGTCGCCATCTCCATAAGCTTGGCTCTGGGGAATTCAAATGCCACCTTATACTACAAATCCCATTCCCTGTGGTCCAGGATCGTTATTTAGTCAAAAGAGCTAGAGGAAATCCTAGTGTGGATTCTCAGGCACTCTGTGCACAGCATGCGCTCTGGCTACAATCTGGAAGTTGCCTACTTTCTTTCCTTCATAAGAAAGTAGGCAACTTTCTTATCCCTAAAGAAAAAAGGTCTTGTGATTTTCTAAATAAATAAAAAAATGGCTATGGACATGGACAGCAAAACAAGCACCTCTCTGATAAAGAATCATAAAGTTGTTTACCACAAATTGCTCCTTCACAGTTTGACATTCACTTATTTTGCCTCCGGAGTCAAAGCAAGTCAGCAGTTTAAGAGCTCTTCTTGCCAAAAACATGACAAAGTTGTATACTGAGACTTGACTGTACACAAAAGTATAGCTAAGTTTGTACTGCCATACATATGCACTGAAAAACTCTACTAAACTAAGCAAAAAACCACAGCCTAAGGACACCTAATTGCTTTTCTATTAAAAAAAATAATAATAGACTGTACATAGCATACTAAACTTGTGCTTTCAAACTTTCAGCTAGCTAAAGATTAATTTGGAATGGAGCAAGTACAACCTGCCATTGTTTACTACTTTAAAATACTAACAGAAGTAAACTCAGGTTTCATGCTTAAGAATTACAGCAGAACTATAAGAAGCCAAGCAGAATTCTTTTGTTTGTCTTAGCCAATTAAATACTTTATCTTAAAAAAAAAAAATCCATAAAAGGACAGAGTATACTATAGTCCTTATTTCTTATACATAGAACTTGAAATGCACATTTTTACCTGGGTTCCTCATCTTTGGGTGAACGTTTAGGACAGTACTTCTTAACCAGATTCCTATTGAGGAAGAATGAAAAAAAGATGCTATTTTAGAGTCTCTTTTTAGAGGAGAAGACATACACATAGAGAACTCCACGAACAAATTACTTCTTTTTAATGACTTCAGGAACAAATCTATTCCCTCTGTCATCTTATAATGGTCCTTCGGATAATATAAGGCAGAAATCTATGGCATTTTCAATGTTTTAAGTCACTTTGACCTAGAACAATATAGGCATTTTAAAACCTCTATTGCACAATGACTAGACACAAAATAATGAGTTCTTTACTTAACATCCTTTTCGCACACGCAAAAGCAGCTAGCAGACAAGAAAAAAGCAAATGTATGATCGCTGTGGAAGATATAGATAGTGCACACTGTATGCTATACCCATGCCTTCATTAAGCTTTGAGTGTACATTCAGGTTGAAGGTTTTAACCACAGTATCTCCAAATCTTCAATAAGAATATTTCCAGAACAGAAAAGGCAACATCTCTTTTCAGGAAAGATGTTACATTTTGCCCTACCACCAGTGTTGTAAATATCAGGTTTTTAGAAACCAAGAAAATCTCTAAAAGATGATCCATGGGACCAGCACTTTACACAGTATCACAGTCCAATTTCTGAGAACACTGCTATGAACTCATCTGCTTATCACACAATGCAGAAACAGCACCTTAAGAAACATACAAACCACATCATCTACTCCACCCTAAAGCACAAACAACACAGGCATATACTGCTTACACAACCCTGTGATGAACATGAAATGAAGCCACACAATTTTACAGACAGGAGGGATAAGAGGAGAGAATGTCCAGTGATTTTTGAAATTCTTATCGTCCTGTACCTCAAGCTTTGCTTTAAACTTCTGAGTACACACATTTTACAGCACAGTATTCTGCCTTGACTTACAATATTGTTTTTCTGACAGTAATGAGGTCTTTTAAAATTCTTGAAATTCAAAAGGATACATATTGTCAGTCTTGAAAAAAATTCCAGAATTTCCTTCTCATTTTTAGTAGCTGGATGTTTATGCCTTCAATTGATTGCATTTTTTATTCTACCTATTTTCAAAATTGTCATTTTTTCCCATGGAACAGAAAAATTGAAATTATAACTCTACTATAGTTCTTTTCCTTTCTGTGTGAGAGTTTGTCATTTTACAGCAAATAAAGAATTCTTCTTTGTACGAAAGAAAAACAGGTAAGACGTAGGATTCTTCTCAGATTGCTTATCCTCAACCTTTGTGCAAAGAAGTGAAACATCTCAGCTGCTGTGTAGTTTTAAAAGCAGCAAACAGTACTTAAAGAGAGATCTACTATTCAAATTAAATAGACCAGTAGTTAAATAGCAATGTCCACTCTCACAAAAATTCTCATGTTTTCCAAACATTAGAACCACTTCATCGAAATCTTGCTAGTAACATTTAATCTGTGGACCAGATCAACTGTTACGGTATCTCTCATTTACACTACTGAAGTAATATTTTTAAGTGTGAATTAACATCTCAGCAGAAAATAATGCATGTCAATCATTTGCTTTACAACCCACAAATAGGAGGAACATCCCTGTACATCTCTAAATAATCGTACTTTCCATTTAAGAACAAAAGACCCACACAACGAAACAAGTGCACACAACTGAATCATTCTGTTCAAGAGACAGGGTGTTTGCCTTGAGCTCGGCAGGGAAGACTTGTGTTCTTGAGGTGGACGTGGATTATGCAAAGAATGCTTCTGCTTTGTAACTGGTATGAAATAGGCTTCATTTAAACTTCTGTTTTGTGTAAAGGGATGATATTTTGTAATTCAGCTATTTTACACATCCACCCAAAGAAGAAATTAAGTATAAAACAAGAACAACCATAAGATAGTCAAGTCCTTTTATATGTACTAAGAAACAGAATAAACACTGACTTTCAAAACAGTATCTACAAATTTTACAAGGACTTTCTCACTGAAGTTAAAACAAGACTCTCTCTTTGCTATCACCAGAATCCACGGCCTGTTGTAACACTGGTAGGGATTAAACGCAAACATTTTGATTGGAAAGTGCATAACCCACCCCCCTCCACCCCCCCCAAAAAAGAATAATTTTCTTCGCTAAGTAACTTTCCCATGTTTCATCTTCCTTACATTTCTGCTTTGTTCCTCAGGGCTTATTAACGAATGGGAAGCTCCTAAAATTCACCTTATTATTATTCATAAAGTGAAATGCATAATAAGTATACACTGCTGTAGCTAATCAACCACGCACGAGCATTTTCAAGGGAAGATTTTCAAAGCTGTTAAAAACGCGAAAACAAACCACTTGCTAAAAACCATACAGTTTAAAGTGGCAGGAGAGAAGGGTCACAAATGTAGATTATTTACTAGCATGCTGATTTCTGTTCTGGTTTCATTTTTTTAATGCAGTTGTTGACTATTTTTAGGAAGACAAAAATATTATATAATCCTTTCTCCTAACAGAAGTCAGTTTCACTAATCAATCTTGTCTACCTTTTGAGACACTGTGTGATCAGGATTTAAGGTTCAATAACAGCACAAGGTACGATAATCAGTCTACAAATATGAAATGACAAGCAAACGCAAAAATTAAAATTGAAAGAGAAAGCCAGTGTTCATGTGAACAATGAAGCATAAATGGCTTTTCCAAGAAGTGAACACCAACACTTCAAAAAAACCAGTGAAGTTAGATTTAAATCTCTGAAAAAATGCAGGTTGGCAAGCAGCTAGTATGAGCGTGGATCTGAAGAGCGAAGCATTATTTCAAAGAGGAGCCAGCTGACACTTTAAAGGGGCATAACGTTCTTTAACATTTTTATCTAAACGTATCTAATCCTCAGGATCCAAATATGGATCTTGGACTAGTTTAGAAGAAAATTGCAGAAGTAATTGCAGACCATCAGAACTGAACCAAGTCTATGGGATAAATTGCTCTATACTTCCTTAGAAAAGTGCAGGTTGATGACACTTTAATCCTCCCTGGAAGTACAATTTAGACTTCTACCACACGCTGTCTTACAGCCATCTGGAAGTAGATTTCATACAGGACTCACCACATCCAATTGTGCTGCTCCTGTAATTTTATCAGCCTCTCTTCTCAGTATAAATTGGTCTCAGCTCACCACCAGTGAGATAGCAGCTTGGACTATATCAGTGACTTTTAAGAGAATTATCTCAGTCACATACCCAGAAGTTTCAAAAAGCACGCTAGTTACTAAATTTAAATTATTTATAGTCATGTACATAAAATTTTACAGACATTTGTACAAAAAACGTGTTTATCAACTCAAAACTAAGTTTTCTTCAGTCAATTAATATAGAATGTAAAGAACAGGAGCACCATCATCAATATGGTAGAATTTGTATTAAGGTAACAGCTCAGGTACTGTGGCATCTGCTTATACTAAACCTCTACAGTATCTACATCATATTACAAACGAGCCTGAGAACAAACTTGGAAGTCTGCTTTCCTAAATTACTAAAAAAAATGCAGTAAGTACTTAAAGGCATTTCATATCTATACATAAAGTAATACTTTCCATAGGGTTCTGATGGCTTCAGTGATTGCATATCAATATTATGGACTGAGTGAAAACAATCACAATAAACTGTATTTAGTCATGTGTCATCAGAAAAAGTTTTAACTGAAGAGATGAATTGTAAAAAATTGTAACATGAAATTTGAGTTTACAGAGCTGCATATCCTTGGAACCATTAAGAATGTGTATGTTTTGGCTCGCACATCCATATTTGAATAATAATGAACAGCATAAATTCTCAGCTCCAATCAAAGGAAGATAAATTTGAGACATATGGTGATAATTTGTGCCCCCAACTTCACATTTCAGCTTACACCCATTTTAAAGAACATTTCCAAGATTCTGCATGTAAAAATGGTACCTATGTTTCAACTTGACTAGACATATGGATATATTAATATTGTATTTAGAAAAAAACCCACTTGCACACAATAGTATGCAGAAGGAACATGAAAAATAAATTTGCTCAGATTAACTAGACATCTCCAGAGATCATAACATACAATTTTAAAGGGAAACAAATACTTCAAGAACAATCATCGCTGTTTTCTTTAAACTGACAATAGAGAAGCTGACCAAATTCAGAAATCTTATTCTGCATGGTAGTTTCATCTGTAACTGCAGGTATAACTTGTATTGCTGCCTGACATTACAGGAAGCGGAACTCCTCTGTCTTCTCAAGTGTCATAATGCCTCAGACAGAATGAAAAGGGAGTGAACCTCCAGAACTATTTTGTGTGTGATGATGTGGAAGCAAACGAAACAGACCTTCACCTCACCCCTTTTAAGCAACAATGCTGATCAAAAACTGCATCTGAGAATTACAAAATTCAGCCAAGAGCCCAGTAATTTGGCACATACTAAATCTATTTTTTTCCCATTGTCAAATAAGAACAAATTAAACAGTCACATAATTAAAATGAAATCTGTTCATCTACAATGCATATTGCAATATGTTTGTCCTGATTCACATCCCTGTAACTCAGTAACAGCCTATAGTAACCTTCACAATCCTTGGAGCACCACAATATGTTAGTTGAGACCTAAGCTACAGAAAACTTAAGATTTTTCCTTTCAGTTACCTCAAAAAAAAAGAGATTATAGTTGTTTGGTTTTCTCCAGAACAAAATATATTGCAGACAAAGACAAGACAAGCTCTCTAGAGATTTCTTTTTTTTCCTCTGTAGACATTCAAGGATTCCTCAATGGTTTCAATTTTTCTTACACTTTTTCTCAGTATCAAGAACTGCCTATCACAGAAGAATAGGAAGGAATGACTTGCAACCTAAAACCAGCATTTAGACAGGATTCTCACGAGTTATCATTTCTGGAATTACTCAGCAACCATGAACTGCAATAACTGCATACAGTAAGAATATAGTGAGTTCATTCAAACAGTTCCTCATATGCTTGCTATACATGCATCACTTGTCATCTAGAAGACTCAGAACAGCTGTTGCACCTGGGAAAGTCTCATCACTAAGTTGTGACAGTACACAAAAAGAATATTATCAAAATGCAAGGGTATACACAAAGTGAATATGAATTTCTGCCAGGACACAGACTCTAATCTGAGAAAACTTATGAAAAATTCACTCAAGTTTTCATCCTTGGGTTTAAGCCTATGAGAATAAGATCCATCAACAATCTCAACAGAATGTTCGTGGCCCACACTGAAACCAAGACAGAAAAAAAATTCCACCATACATCACTAGCATTATCTTCCTCATTAAACTTTTTTTCTTTTGGTCTCCCATCCAAGCACTAAGAGAGCCACAGAACTACCAAGAGGTGACCATTCATCATACTGTTTACACATCCACTAAACAAGGGCCTAATAAATCTCAGCTATAAAGTTCATTATGAAGAGATTCTCAACACACCATTTTTCCAATTGTATTTCATTACAAAAGGAAAAAAACTATTATAAACTAGAATTTTCTATCAGGGATATTAGTATTGATCTCACAGGTCACATGCTGCCCGCATTAAAATTCACCAGAACCATAGTCTATCCCCAAGATCTTCTCTCTCAGAACTTCTCAGGAACAAGCTGCAGGATGGCTAACTCTTCTGGAGATGAAAATTTTGCTTGATTTCAATCTCCTCTGGGGCCTCATGACTGTTTTCACATAGCTAAAATCAGTGACTGTTCTCGAGAACAATGATGGTAAAAATCAAGTTGTTATCACAAGACAGTTCACTACTAACAGTCAATTCTCCCCCAAGGAATACACAGGCAAGAATACTGAAGAGTAGCTTCATGAACTGGTCTACTGGCAGAAAATCAGTCACCCTCTCACGTGTGTTGTCATCCAGACCCTCGATGGCCGCAGGCAGGAAGTGCATGCATGCACTGTACAACACATGTGCAGCAAGACCTGTGCTTCCCAAAACTGTCATACTTACTGCACATGACAGTCAGTCCAGTCATCTGACAGGAGGGATATTCGACATAATTCTTTCGTTTTTGAAAGACTCTGGGGAAAATCAGTAGTTTTACCCAAAAGAGTAAAATGCTGCACAGAGAAGATTTCCTACTTTTAGCCAAATCCTAAAGTAATAATGTGATGTCTCATCTTGCTAGCTGTGGAATGAACCTTTAAATATAATTAAGCAAAATGGCATTTGTTCATACTATTTAAGGAAAATATCTGGATAGATCCGTGCAAATAAAACACATTTCCATTTTTAAACAGACAACTGAAAACAAATCAAAACTGGGCTGTGAACTGGTGCTGTGCATGCTTCAAACTTTCCTTTACCTCCTGAAGTTCTTCTATGCCAGCTTTGGAAAAGTGGTATTTATTTCCTTCCTTTTAAGAAAAAAAATCCTTCAGTAAAGTAATGGAGTATTTATGTTAGGTGAATATACACAACTGGATCAAAGAAACTGATAAATCAAAAAGGAAATGAGCAGCCTAGACAGAGAACAACTGCACTCTCAGCTGTGAACCTCATTACTGCATTTATGAGAAGGATTCCTCAGCTCTGTATCTGGTGACAATCTGGTTTGCCAATGATGAGACGATGGAAGACACCACAGGGGAGAAGCTGCTATTAGTTTCAGTCCAACAAGTGTTAGGCAGCAGCTTCAGCTGAATCCACAAAAGAATTCAAGACAGCAAAGATTATGACGAAGGCCAAGGTCACAGGAGTGTCTTATATTAAATCCTGTTCTTCAAGAACACAAGGTGTGCACCTTTTGGTAAAAATCAATCCTGCTTTATTCTGAAGAATGTGCTTCTCTACCATTCCATTGCTGCTACTCTTTTTGCATGATTCTTGTTACGATTCCTGTGGGGAAATTCCTATTGGACCTAAAAGATGTTTCACTTGGCACCAGCAAAAAGTAAACTGGAGAGGTAAGACAAGGGGTGGTTGGGTTACAGTCTCACCCAAAGGGACAAGACCAGCTATGGAAAGAGCACACTTTGAGAACAAGAAGATCAGCTACTTTCTCAAGGTCTACTCAATGATTTCAATCAGATTTCTTAACGCAATGTAGCGTAGCTCTTGCCAATTCAACATGAGAAATTAATTAGTAGCAGAGGCTTGAAGCTCATCGAACACACAAAAATGTAGATAATGGTAATGCACTTCGCAACAGACATGCTGATAGTGGAAAAATATTACTATGGCTTTGCTTTGTTTTGAATCATAAAATTGAAGTCTTTTTAGTTCAAAGATTTGAAGGGTGGGTGGAAACAAAGGGATGGAAGGCGGCAAAAACAAATAAGCAAGTGCACGCTCAAATATAATTTTCTGGTTTGCACTGGTAAAGAAAAACTTGTAATAAAAAGAACCAGTGATCCAATTCCTTCTGTAAATGAAACATGGTTACTAATCACAACATTACATACTTGCCCATCATCTGACACAGTGATTTTAAGTAACAATTCAGCAATTATGTTACAATTCCTTTAAAAAGAAAAAATCCTTACCTTAGTTGTTTTGCATAGTTTTGCTCAATTTCTATCCTTTCTTTTACAAATTTTGCATATTTCTCCAAGAAGTCAATGCCCCACTGTGTATGCTTGTCCAAGTTATCAAACTGATCCTTTAAAAACAAAAGGAAACAAAAATATCCAGAATTAGGTAAGAATCACAGCAACACCAGAAAGGACATATAATTTATTTATGAGTTGTGCTGTGAGGGAATGCTTGCTACTTGGATAGAAGTTACTCAAGTTATAAATCAGGCACGTGTGTGTGTGTGTGTGTGTGGGTGTATACACCCCCCCCACCCCCCTTCCCCCCCCCCCACCAGCCATATACCAGAACAGTAAGCTGTACATGCAGGCACAGATCTACCTCTTTCAGTAAAAACAGCTCTAAATACTTGCATTTTAAGCAAGCCTTTGATCATTTTCACAATGCAAATGTGTGTTTTTTCCCCTAAAAATCCTGTAGTTCTAAAGTGGATCTTTTCCACCAAGATAACGAAGACAACCAAAGATCAGTGTTAGGTAAATAAGTGACTGCTCAACAAGAGAGATGTGTTTGGCAGTTTTAAAACACAGGAAGTTGTAATTTCATTGGATACAAAAAATTACTTCCACTCTTAGGACTACCCGTTGAAATAAAAATAAGATAAATTACAGCTGCATGACTAAGTTGGGCGTAGTCTGCATATGAAAAATCTTTATTAAAGCCAATCTATATACAGAGTTCACAATCAGTCTAGCAAGAGATTCCAAAGAAAGCAAACATGTCCTTAGCCATTAAGAAAGTTACAGTACAGCAAAGGCACAAAACAAACAGTCAAAAAAACCCCATGCTTCCAAAAAAAAGTTGGGGGATTCTTAATACATTAAATCATCTTCAAAACCAATCTTTCACTGGATACTGATCAACAGGTGGAAGATACACTAATTAGGACAAGTCGAAAATTAAAAAAACAAATGGAAATATGGGGTTTAGGAATTAGGCAGGAATGAATAAAGGTACAAAATATAGCCTAGCCAATATTTTTATTCTAGCATATCTTTGCATTTTATGCTAAAAAATCTGCCACATGGGAAAATTTGAGGATTTTCAGCTTATGACAGCATTTACAGTAATTTTTTCTTAACAGTTACTTAGTAATCAAAAAAGACAAGGAACCGCAACATCCAAGTTTGTAAGAAAGCATTGAAAGGCAAAGTTTATTAAACTTACACAAAAAATTGTGAGGGGTGTTTATCAGAAGCTGTGTCTTGCAGATTCAGTAACTTGCCTGAACCTAATGAATTATGTCGACCTTTAGTATTAGCAATTTAAGTTCAATTTCAACATGCAGTAGGATGATCTGAAGTTAAATCAAAAAATGCCATAAATGTCACAGGGCTTAAGATTCAAGGAAAATGTATTCACTAAAACAGAAACCAAGACAACACAACTATATACAACCAATGAGAATAATAAAAAAGAACGTAACAAGTTTAAGTTTGATCTCAAATCTTGCCTTGTGGCTCTTAATATCCTACACCATGGACTAACAACCATGGCATTAGCGCCTTGCACGCTTCAATCCAATGGCATAAGTACTGCCAACCAGAAGCACCCATCCAGTCCCACTACCAGCCACACACTCCTACCTCTGCATCACTCTCTCCACCAAAAATACAACCACTTTCCCTCGTGTGTTTCATCAGTGATCCATATAAACAGCCAAGACACAGTAGAGGGACTAAAAACAAGATTTACATATATTTGGGAAACTGTATCTCATATTGTTCTGATGTGCTCACTTTATACCAACTGGACATTTCCACACTAAATATCTTCTGTCAAATAAAGTGACATTCCTGCTATTGTTTTTAGAAAAGCTGCATATGCATTGTTTGTGTGTTGAAGAGGGAGATGGTTACCAAAGTGTAGTGTCAAACCACTGTTGCATATATGCATAAAAATACATCATCAATCTCAAGAAGGCCGTCTTTTTTATATTCCACTCATTTTTGTTATTACTCTGACAACACTAACCTGGCATCCAAAAGAAGTTTCCAAAAGGTGCTTTTGGCATGGAGCCAACATCCAATACCATTAAGAAGAACTGACCTTCTCCAGTGTACAGTAGAACAAAGCCTTTGCTGTCCTACTTAGTTTCTTTCGTCCACAAAGCTCTCATTAGCGTTACGGAACACCACATTACTTATGTTTCCGAACATGTAACCAGAGAGGATGGCTTTCCAAATATTTTGTTCAAACAAAAAAGGACTCTACTGGTCAAAATTAATTCTCTGCTACTAATATGAAATTGGAATGGCAAAATTTGAGTACATTTGACATGTTATTCTCCCCTCACGCTTTACTAGCCCAAGTATCAAAAACTGGTACTGACCGAGTGCCAAAACCTCTTCCTTTCCTCAATTATTATTCTTCAACTGATTCTAGAAACAGTATGCTCTGTGCAAAGACATCTCTGTAGGATTATCCCATAGCCCCTCAGGGGAAGAAAGAATTTGTTCCCTTCCTATATGAGGAGCTTGCATAGAAGATACAGAGCAACCTGAATGGAGTAAATCCCATGTAAGAAAAAAATTAAAACCCATTAGCTATGCTCACCATTCTGTAGACCTTTACATTAGTCCAGCTCCTCCACCATTATTGACATACGAAACTACTCATGGATGCATTAATGAACTCCTAGATAAGGAATGGAAATCCTAATTTAGAGGGCCATTAGTCCATATTTACTGGAATTAAAATAGTATGTTCCCACTCTCTTCAAGAGTGAGACAGCTTCACAAAGTCAGTTTGTTCACTGCCATTTTTCAGTCAGCAATTATATTATGCACTATGTTATATTGAAACATACAATATGAAGGATAAAAAAAATTAACTTTCACGAAGTACCAAAGCATTTTTTGAAAACTGGCTTAAATTAAGGTTTGGATGCCTTAAAAAAATAATCTACAGATGATTTCTAGATTTGTATTCAAAATAAAAACACTATAATAAACTCTCATATAAACATTGATGCCTTGGATTAAATTGGACATACTGACAATGTCTCTTAAGTTCTCTGTAAATCATGTATGTACTGTAGAACAGAGCTCTCAAGTAACAGAGAAAATCTATTAAGGAAACATATCAACTTCACAATTTTTCAAATTCTCTATAAACAATAAACCAGTGAATGAAAAGCCCACAGTCACAAAAATAACTTTACACTGCTCAATAACGACACTGAGAAAAATGAGCAAAAGATAAAGGCAACATCAATGAATAAGCAGAAAGGAATGGCTTTTTCAGAAAGGCTTCTAGCAGGGAGTCACAAATTTACTCGTAGTCCTTTCAACTTGTCTCCAGAAGCATTAATTCAATCAATTAAACAAAAACTTTCCTTTTCATCCAGGAACACAAGCACATTGCTACAAAGGAAATAAAATTAACGCACTGAGATACAAGCCAAGCCAAGCGATATCTTGAATGGTAAAAAAAGCGCAAAAATCAGGCAATACTGTACAGAGGAGAAAATGGACCAAATAATTGCAATTTAAAAAAAGAAAGAGCACATCCTACAATATCTGGCTATATACTACCTTGATAGCAAAGTATGTTCTCAACAATTTTCCAAGGCAAATATATATTGCTGTTTGTCTAGTAACTCCCCACACCCCGTAGCAGCTGATCAGGCAATTTTTGTAAAGAACTTTATTAAAACTGCAGCTGAATTAATTATCAGTGTTAAACTGATTAATGTCAGCTAATGGATGGTGGCCATAAAAGGAACTGCCCACTCAAAAGCTGCAATGTAGTCCAAAGTCTCTACATTATAAACAAACAAATCTGACACTTCACAAAAAGTTTGTGGTAGGTCAATATAGACTATTCCCAAAGAAATGTTACCTCCCTAAATTCTACTTCCAGATTATTTACTGGAACCACAGATCAATGTTACAAATACTTCAGGTATGCAGTTCTATACTTGCCAGGTTTTTGCAGATACAAGGAAGTTTTACAGTAATAGCAGCTGAAACATCAAAGCAAGGAGTCAAGCTGAATCAAATCTGCACCAAAGACAAAACAGCCTTTCCTGGGTTAAACTCAAGTTGTTCTATCCCCTCTTACAGACATCTGTTTTTTCCCCAAACAAGAAAAACAAAAAGAAAACAAAACCATGGAGGATCTCTTCACAAGGATTAGCATGGAGGGAATATTACACCATAAATACCAAATCCTTAGTCTTCCTAAAGCTATCAGTAGCGAGTCCAGACAGTGTTTATATGGGAGTTCCAAATAAAAGGCATTAAACCAGACTGAGATTTTTAAAGGGTTAATGTTCCCGGCATTCATCATCTTTGGAAGGCATCTCTACTTGCATTGAAAGATAGGATTGTGGTATCAAATTCTGCATTAAAAAAAAAAAAAAAATCCATTTTACTAAATGATTCCTTTACAATACACTCTAGTTTACTGCATCAACATCAAATTGCTGATCAGTCCCCACTTCACTGACATCCATTTTGATATCTCCAGACAACACAGTTGAAAACCTTAAGAATCATATTAAAACACAGAACTACACTGACTTACAAGTTTAAGCAATCTATCTCAAGTAATTAAATCCGCCCTATCTTTAAAATATATCATTTAACAAAACATTTTATTTTAAATCATCACATTTCACATTAATTATGCTACCACCATTTTATTCTCTTTTGAGTCAACTGAATATTGTTATTTCCATACTTTTATCTGACCACAATATTAGTCTGCAGTTACCCAAGTGATCTTATTTGCAGTTTTGAAGCACTGGCACAAGATTTAAGTTTTTTTCCTAATTTTTTGTTCTCCAGGCAGCATAGCTTGGTCAGTCCAAAATTCCGACTTGGTAAGTGGGAGATTAAAAGCTTAGTCCCATACTTTGCTCTCTAAATTCTTAACGCTTACACTGTCTGGTATAAGGAAAATACATCCTATGCCCTGATGAGATTAGACAAAGAGTGTTCAGAGCACAGAAAAGCAGGAATCGGGTCTTGTTCAGGGAAAAAACCCAAAACATTTGGCAGCACAAAAGCCCCAGTGCATTTGTGGATAGAAATGTTCTATTTTATTATCACTTTAGGAAAA